AAGAGAGCTTTTCACAAACACACATTCCCCTCCCCCTCCCTCGATGAGAGAGAGAAAAGACAGTCACCTTCACAGCTTTGGACATCCTTGGGAACAAGAGTCGGGCTCTGCATACACCCTCACGCAGCCTCTCTCGGTACCCACCTGGTCCCCCATGGCTCAAGTGTTCCTTCTTCCAGGGGGCAGTGCTGCCCCCCTGAAAAATGCCGCCCTAGGCAAATGCCTTGTGGTAAATACATCTTTGGGTGTAGTAAAGCAGTATCAGGTGTGGATCTCAAACACAATTAGTGGGACCTGTGTCCCATAAACAGTGGCATCCCGAGGCACGTGCGGGGGGTGCGGGGGGTGACACCGAATGCACAGGGTGACACCGGACCCGCTCCACGAAAAGGTAAGTTGGAAAGCAAGCCGACGATCCCCGCAGGACGGATGGGATCTGCGGATTGGGGAGCATAATGGATCAGAGTCCAATCCATTATGCTCAATCCTCAGATCCGATCCATCCTGCGGGGATCGTCAGCATGCAACTTATATGGGGTGACACCGGACCCGCTCCACGAAAAGGTAAGTTGTAAAGAAAGCCGACGATCCCCGCAGGATGGATCGGATCTGCGGATTGAGCATAATGGATCGGAGTCCAATACTTTATGCTCAATCCGCAGATCCGATCCATTCTGCGGGGATCGTCGGAGGGGGTGTCACCAAATGTTACCGCACCGGGTGACACCAACCCTAGGGACGCCTCTACCCATAAAGCAAACCTTCATTCCCAAAGGGCATCTTGTACCCTTACAACGCCCCTCCTAACACCTGATTGGATCATTGGGTTTGATTTACTAAAGGCAAATAGATTGTGCACTTTGCAAAGTGCAGTTGCTCCAGAGCTTAGTAAATGAGGTGAAGTTTCACTTTGTAAAGAATACCCAATCACAGGCAAGGAAAATAAATAAAAACAGCTTTTTGTTTGCTTGCTCGTGATTGGATGATGGAAGTCAACAGAGCCTCTGCTCATTTACTAAGCTGTGGAGGAACGGAGTGCTCAGTCTATTTGCCTTCAGTAAATCAACCCCAAAGTATTGTTGTGGGAATGAATCGGTTCAGTCCCTAGACAAACCGATTCGCTTGACACTGAAAAGCGGGCGATCTCTGGCCTGGTGGCTCATCCAAACGTTGGAGTTCCCAAGAAGGATCTTCACAATGGATGCCAGCTGTCGAGGAGTCCTAGAGGGTGCAGAGGACTTGGTGGTCAGAGGTATCTCCTGGTCAACACCTGGAGATCTGAGTGGTTTTGGTTGTCCCTACAATACTGGACACCTCAACTGGAAGGTAAACCAATCAGGATCCGGATAGACCACGTAGCAGCAATGGAAACCACCAACCATCAGAGACAAATCAGACATCTTGCTGTGGCAGGAGAGGTATGAAGGATAGTACCTACCAAGGGCGGACTGACAACTTATGGGGCCCCCGGGCAATAGGGGATCATGGGGCCCTGTGTCCTTGCCCAAACTCAAAAAAGCCTATGAAAAAGGTACCAGGGGCATCTCATGGGGCCCCCTACTGACCCCGGGCCCTCGAGCAGTGCCTGAATTTCCAAAATGGTCAGTCCGCCCCTGGTACCCACACAGGGGCATATTTACCACAAGGCACTTGCTTAAGGCAACATTTTTCAGGGGGGCAGTACCTCCCCTCCCAGAAGAAGGGATGAAAGAAGGGACACGTGCTCCATGGGAACCAGGTGGGATCCGAGAGAGGCTGTGGGCTGCTTGATGGTGTATGTAGAGCCTGACTCTCATTCCCAGGGATGTCCGGAGATGACGATGACTGTCAGGGGCGTTGTTGGTCAATGTCAGGCTCTCTCCACGGGAGGGGGAGGGGGGGTTGGTGTTGGTCGGTGTCCGTGGGGGCAGACGATTTTTGTGTTGCCTAGGTCAGCACAAAACCTGAATACACCAATGTACCTACACCCAGAAGTATTTCTGTACCAGGTCACAGGTGGAGATGCTGGATGTGGACCTCCTGGCCTCCAGGTTCAAGAACAAGCTGGACAGATTTGTCTCCAGATGCAGAGAAGGATCTTAACAATGGATTACAGCTGTCGAGGAGTCCTAGACAGTGCAGGGGACTTGGTGGTCAGAGGTATCTCCTGGTCAACACCTGGAGATCTGAGTGGTTTGGTTGTCCCTACAATATTGGACACCTCGACTGGAAGGTACCCCAATCAGGATCCAGACAGACCATGAGGCAGCAGTGGAAAACACCAACCATCAAAGACAAATCAGACGTCTTGTTGTGGCAGGAGAGGTATGAAGGATAATACCTACACAGGGGTGTATTTACCACAAGGCAAACAAGGCACTTGCCTAGGGCGGCATTTTTCAGGGGTGCAGCACCTCCCCCCCAGACAAAGGGATGAAAGAAAGGACACATGCTCCATGAGAACCAAGTGGGATCCAAGAGAGGCTGTGGGCTGCTTGATGGTGTATGTAGAGCCTGACTCTCATTCGCGGGGATGTCCGGAGATGACGATGAGTGTCAGGGGTGTTGTTGGTCAATGTCAGGCTCTCTCTCACGGGAGGGGGAAGGGGGGGTAGGGATGGTGTTGGTCGGTGTCCGTGGGGGCAAACGATTTTTGTGTTGCCTAGGGCACCACAAAACCTAAATACACCAATGTACCTACACCCAGAAGTATTTCTGTACCAGGTCACAGGTGGAGATGCTGGATGTGGACCTCCTGGCCTCCAGGTTCAAGAACAAGCTGGACAGATTTGCCTCCAGATGCAGAGAAGGATCTTAACAATGGATTCCAGCTGTCGAGGAGTCCTAGACAGTGCAGGGGACTTGATGGTCAGAGGTATCTCCTGGTCAACACCTAGAGATCTGAGTGGTTTGGTTGTTCCTACAATACTGGACACCTCGACTGGAAGGTAAACCAATCAGGATCCGGATAGACCAGGTGGCAGCAGTGGAAAACACCAACCATCAGAGACAAATCAGACATCTTGCTGTGGCAGGAGAAAATATGAAGGATAGTACCTACACCCAGAAGTATTTCTGTACCAGGTCACAGGTGGAGATGCTGGATGTGGACCACTTGGCCTCCAGGTTCAAGAACAAGCTGGACAGATTGGTCTCCAGATGCAGAGAAGGATCTTAACAATGGATGCCAGCTGTCGAGTAGTCCTAGACAGTGCAGGGACTTGGCAATCAGAGGTATCTCCTGGTCAACACCTGGAGATCTGAGTGGTTTGGTTGTCCCTACAATACTGGACACCTCGACTGGAAGGTAAACCAATCAGGATCCAGACAGACCATGTGGCAGCAATGGAAACCACCAACCATCAGAGACAAATCAGACATCTTGCTGTGGCAGGAGCAGTATGAAGGATAGTACCTACACCCAGAAGTATTTCTGTATTAGGTCACAGGTGGACATGCTGGATGTGGACCTCCTGGCCTCCAGGTTCAAGAACAAGCTGGACAGATTTGTCTCCAGATGCAGAGATTATCTGGCAGAAGCAATGGGCCCTCTATTGGATCTGTAGGGTCGGTAGAGCTTGTAGGGAGGTGCAGTCTCTTTTCTCCACTTCAGGTGGCGCTCAAACCACAGCAGCATTGCAGAGGGAGAGGAAGCCAGGAGGAACTTAGTCCTCTATGGTTTCCTGGATCACTGGTTGGATGGTGCTGTTCCATATACCTCTGGTAGCCATCTTGGGTCAGGCAGAGTCTATTTAATACCCTGTCTCCCAGGCTTGGCACGCATTTTTTGGCGAGTGGTTAGTGTAGGGACAGGTTACCTTCCTGCTAGGGACAGTGATTAGCAGTAGGTTCCGGACAAGTAGAGATAAATCAGGGACATGCTATCTTCTACAGGAACCTTCCAAGTTGGGCCTGGACTCACTAGGCCGCATTCCACCCTCTGAGGCAGACACTGTTAGTACATTGTTTGTTTGTACAAAGTGCACAGTCTATTTGCCTTTAGTAAATCAGCCCCAGTGTGTTGGTTGCAGTGCCAGTTTCTGAAGGTTCAGGATCCAGACTAACCATATTAAGGTGTGAACCCGTCCACATTACATGATCAAACAGTTGGAGCCGGCTGTTCCCCACATCAATAGGAGACCTTCCAGGTATCCAGGGTAACAAACTGTCTGTAAATTAACGGACAATTTGTAAATATCGGGCAATTTAGAAAGCTGTAACTGTCTGTTATGGACAATGGCCGCCAGTAAAAAATATGGCCGTGAGATGCCTTCCAAAGCTGGCAGGAGTCAGCTGGGCTCAGCTGGGGAAGCAGGTGCAGTGACACATGTGCAGTTCCGAGTCGGCCCGGCTCAGGCAGGGATGCAGATGTTGGTCACCAGAGTCGTCCCTCCTCCCCCCATCCCCGTGTTCCCCCTTTAAATTAGTGTCTTCAGAATTCTTCTTTACAACAGAGTCTGCAGGATTCCCTCTTGCAGTGCAAGGGGGGGCTCTGCGGACCATGATCTAAAGGGGATGTCTGATGTAAAGAGGAATGCTGCAGACTCTGATGAAAGGGGGCTCTTGTGACCAGAGTTCCCCTGTACACCAGAGTCCTTAGCATTCCCCCTTACATCATGGTTTGCAGCATTCTCCTTTACATCAGGGTCCACAGAGTTCCCCCTTGTACTGGGGGAATCCTGTAAGTCAGAATTCTGCAGACCCTGATGTAAGGGGGAACTCTGTGGACGTTTGTGTAAGGAAGAGGGGGGGCTCTGGTGACCAGGGACCCCCCTTACATCAGAGTTCCTCTTTACATCATGGACGGTCTGCATCAGGGTCCACAGAGTTCTCCCTTGCAGTGTAAGGGGGAATCCTGCAGACTCTGTGGTGGGTGAACTCTGTGCTGGGTTATATTAACCTGACCTTCATGTAAAAGGAGAAACATGTTGCAGTGTAAGGGGAAGCCTACGGAGTTTGATGTAAAGGGGAACTCTGTGGACTCTGATGTTTAAAGGGAGCTCTGTGAACTCTTATGTAAAGGGGGGACTCTGGTGACCAGAGACCATCTTATATCAGAGTTCCCCTTTACACCAAAGTCAGCAGCTTTCCCCCTTGCACCATGATCTGCACACTAATGGGTTCACACTAATGGAGTGCAGCATATTGCATGTCAGGAGGGAACAATACTGGGATCAGGAGGGCACAATACTCGGATCAGGAGGGCACAGTACTGGGATCAGGAGGGCACAGTACTGGGATCAGGAGGGCACAATACTGGGGGAGCCAGGAGGGCACAGTACAGGGGGAGTCAGGAGGGCACAGTACTGGATCAGGAGGGCACAATACTGGGGGAGGCAGGAGGGCACAGTACAGGGGGATCAGGAGGGCACAATACTGGGGGAGGCAGGAGGGCACAGTACTGGGATCAGGAGGGAACAGTACAGGGGGGGGGATCAGGAGGGCACAATACTGGGGTCAAGAGGGCACAGTACAGGGGGAGTCAGGAGGGCACAATACTGGGGGAGGCAGGAGGGCACAGTACAGGGGGAGTCAGGAGGGCACAGTACAGGGGGATCAGGAGGGCACAGTACAGGGGGATCAGGAGGGCACAGTACAGGGGGAGTCAGGAGGGCACAGTACAGGGGGGATCAGGAGGTCACAATACTGGGGGAGCCAGGAGGGCACAGTACTGGGGATCAGGAGGGAACAGTACAGGGGGGATCGGGAGGGCAGAATACTGGGGTCAGGAGGGCACAGTACAGGGGGAGTCAGGAGGGCACAGTACTGGGGTCAGGAGGGAACAGTACAGGGGGGATCAGGAGGGCACAATACTGGGATCAGGAGGGCACAATACTGGGGTCAGGAGGGGAAACAGTACTGGGATCAGGAGGGCACAATACTGGGGTCAGGAGGGCACAGTACTGGGGGAGTCAGGAGGGCACTGTACTGGGGGAGTCAAGAGGGCACAGTACAGGGGGATCAGGAGGGCACAATACTGGGGTCAGGAGGGCACAATACTGGGGTCAGGAGGGCACAGTACAGGGGGAGTCAGGAGGGCACAATACATGGGGGAGTCAGGAGGGCACAGTACAGGGGGAGTCAGGAGGGCACAGTACTGGGGGAGGCAGGAGGGCACAGTTCAGGTTCCGGGACACTGCCCGAGTCATCCCAGGGCATCTTAGTAAAAAGCATGACTGTCCTGGCAAATCCAGTGCAGTTGGCATGTATGATGTAATGCTAGATATAATGGGGCCCCCATGCACCTGGGGCCCCTGGGCAGTGCCCATGCATTAAGACAGTCCTGCCACTAGCTGTTCCCCTCCCTTCTTCAAATACTTACCCGATCCCTCTCTCGATCCAGTGCTGTGCCTGTCTGCAGCAGCCCTGGTCTCCCTCCCTCACAGGACCATTGGCCGCTGCTGCTGTCAATCACATCCTATGAGGAGGGAGCATGACCAAGCCACCCTGTGTGTGTCTATAGATGCATGCAGCCCGGTTCGATAGTACTCCCACACGCGTGTCCCCAGAGCACATGGCCTCATGCAGGAGAGGAGGCATGGAGAGCTCCGGTGGGGACTCCAGAGGGGGAGGTAAGGGGCCACTCTGCAATATTTTGTAAGAATAACCTTTTTGTATTTTAGGGAGAAATAGTCTTTTGGATCACTTTAGGTCCATTCAGAAAAGTGCGGTCAGGGACCGGGCTGCGGTGTGTGGCAGGGGCCCATGGATCACAGGATGAGTACGATTACAAATCCATGACAATGTACGGCCTCAGCTCTGTGATCTGCCATCGATCCTACTTCAGTGTTGTACTTCCACAGAGAATACAGCAGGTGGCGCAGCGGAGCCATAGAAGGGTATATTGGGCTTCAGCCCGACCCTTTGTAACGCATCGAATATTCATGAACTCTCGTCTAGAGATCCTCGAACGACTTTTCAGGCATCTCTCATCCAAGAAGCACTCAAAAGCCGGCCATAGACGGGTCGAAAATCGGCTGATTTTCGCACCGTTAGTGGGTTAATTGGTCGGCCGTTTTTCGGGGTTTTGGCACATTTTTTTTATCGGTAATATTGGAAAATTTGCGGCAGATTTTGACGAACGGCCGATTTTCCCGGCAATGGTGGGCAAAACGGCCAATCATTTTACCAATAAAAATTCTGTGCATGAGCCGTGACCTGCAAGTAGAGTAGAAAAAAAACAGTTGTTTCAGCAGATGTCCGAAAAAGAAGAAGAAGAAGAAAAAGAAGAGATCAGAAGAAGAGGAAGAGAAGAAGAAGCAGAAGAAAAAGAAGAAGAAAAAGAGGAAGAAAAGGAAGAAGAAGAAGAGGAAAAAAAAGAGGAAAAAGAAGAAGAAAAAGAAGAAGAAGAAAAGGAGAAGTAGAAGAAGCAGAAAAAGAAGATTAAAAAGAAGAAGAAAAAGGAAAGAAGAGGAAGAAGAAGAGGAAAAAGAAGAAAAGAAGAGGAAGAAAAAAAAAGGGGAAAAAAGAAGAAGGAAAAAGAAGAAGAAAAGAAGGAAAAGAAGAGGAAAAAGAAGAAGCAGAAGAGAAGAAGAAAAAGAGGAAAAAGAAGAAGTAAAAAAGAAGAAGAAAAGAGGAAAAAGAAGAGGAAAAAGAAGAAGAAAAGGAGAAGTAGAAGAAGCAGAAAAAGAAGATTAAAAAGAAGAAGAAAAGGAAGAAGAGGAAGAGGAAAAAGAAGAAGAAAAAGAAGGAAAAAGAAGTAGAAAAGAAGAAAAAAAGAAGGAAAAGAAGAGGAAAAAGAAGAAGAGAGAAAAAGAAGAAGAAAAGAAGAAGAAAAAGAGGAAAAAAGAAGAGAAGGGAAAAAGAAGAAGAAAAAAAAGAAGAAAAAGACTGCCCTGTGACTGCTCTGTACTGCGCTTCTTTGCAAGATTGCACCGCATTCAAACCGTAGCTCCATGTGTATTGGCGTGTGCGAAGACATGCGTGTTAACAGATGCATGTGGGTGCCGTTAAGGATGAATTGCACCGCTGCACATCTACTAAAGGGCCACACGTTTCTGCGTTGTGAATATGTGCGATTTTGCGCGTGTTCCACAGACGCACATGAGTCTGAACGTCGTCTCAGTGCTCATTCAAACGTGCAGCGCCCTTCTGAAAAGTGATCGCTTTTCAGAGGGCATGTAACCAGGCGGGGAGGAGGTGTTATGCTGCATGATTAAACCCTATAAAAGCCGCACGACTGCCCTGCGATTGCATGACGGTGCTGAGCAGCGATGGCCCGGCCCCACTGACATGCGTGGGTCACGTTCTGCTGTGGTAACACCCGCCAAATGCGTCATGCAGTTTGGTATGTAGCGTGTTTGTACAGCCGTGAGCGGGTGAATGTCAGTATTGCGGTGGGTGGGTTGGGGGAGAGGAGCGGTAAAACCGATTCTCAACCGACTTGTTTTACCGCCCTCCTGGCCCCATGATGTGCCGATCCAGCAGCCTCCTGGGAGATGCGATGTAAGAATCCCAGGAGACTGCAGGACCAGATAACCATCATCCTGGCCTAGGACAATGTGGAGGCGGGGGCTGGGAAAAAAACACATTACATAGGATTTCTGTCATACTGGGAGAGGAAGCATTTCCTCAGTCTCCCCTCCCCCAGCGATCAGACTGTACATTGTAACTTTGTAGAAGGAGGAGGAGCATTTCCTCAGTCTCCCCCCCCCCCCAGCGATCAGACTGTACATTGTAACTTTGTAGAAGGAGGAGAAGCATTTCCTCAGTCTCCCCCCCCCCCCAGCGATCAGACTGTACATTGTAACTTTGTAGAAGGAGGAGAAGCATTTCCTCAGTCTCCCCCCCCCAGCGATCAGACTGTACATTGTAACTTTGTAGAAGGAGGAGAAGCATTTCCTCAGTCTCCCCCCCCCCAGGGATCAGACTGTACATTGTAACTTTGTAGAAGGAGAAGGGGGCATTTCCACAGTCCGCCCCCCAGTGATCAGACGGCAAAATTGGATAGAAAGGAGATTTCGTATGTATATATATAAGTAACCAGTTTGTGAGCACCAAATATCTTTACAAACCCAGATATTACCTTGTAAATGAAGTGGTGACATCATAGACCATGCAGAAAACAGCTGTGAGAGGAGCCCCACAGGCCCCACCTACTATAGAAAATTGCAGGTGGGGCAGAGACAAGACCAGTCCCCCTGCACAAGAAGAGAACAGAGCTGTGGGAGGGGCCCAGCAGGCTCCACCCACTATAGAAAACTACAGCAGGGGGCGGAGACAAGATCAGTCCCCCTGCACAAGGAGAGAGCAGAGCTATGGGAGGAGCCCAGCAGGCTCCACCAGGGGCGGACTGACAACTCATGGGGCCCCCGGGCAATAGGGGATCATGGGGCCCCTGTGTCCTTGCCCAAACTCAAAAAAGCCTATGAAAAAGGTACCAGGGGCATCTCATGGGGCCCCCTACTGACCCCGGGCCCTCGGGCAGTGCCCAAGTTTCCAAATGGTCAGTCCGCCCCTGGGCTCCACCCACTATATAACACTACAAGAAGGGGCGGAGACAAGACCAGTCCCCCTGCACAAGGAGAGTGCGGAGCTGTGGGAAAGTCCCATCAGGCTCCACCCACTAGAGAAAAGTACAGGAGGGGGGCGGAGACAAGACCAGTCCCCCTGCACAAGGAGAGAGCAGAGCTGTGGGAGGAGCCCAACAGGCTCCACCCACTATATAACGCTACAAGAAGGGGCGGAGACAAGACCAGTCCCCCTGCACAAGGAGAGAGCAGAGCTGTGGGAGGAGCCCAACAGGCTCCACCCACTATATAACGCTACAAGAAGGGGCGGAGACAAGACCAGTCCCCCTGCACAAGGAGAGAGCAGAGCTGTGGGAGGAGCCCAACAGGCTCCACCCACTATATAACGCTGCAAGAAGGGGCGGAGACAAGACCAGTCCCCCTGCACAAGGAGAGAGCAGAGCTGTGGGAGGAGCCCAACAGGCTCCACCCACTATATAACGCTACAAGAAGGGGCGGAGACAAGACCAGTCCCCCTGCACAAGGAGAGAGCAGAGCTGTGGGAGGAGCCCAACAGGCTCCACCCACTATATAACGCTGCAAGAAGGGGCGGAGACAAGACCAGTCCCCCTGCACAAGGAGAGAGCAGAGCTGTGGGAGGAGCCCAACAGGCTCCACCCACTATATAACGCTACAAGAAGGGGCGGAGACAAGACCAGTCCCCCTGCACAAGGAGAGAGCAGAGCTGTGGGAGGAGCCCAACAGGCTCCACCCACTATATAACGCTACAAGAAGGGGCGGAGACAAGACCAGTCCCCCTGCACAAGGAGAGAGGGTAGCAGTGGGCGGTCTTTATTCTCACAGATGTGGAAGAAGAACGCGCAGCTCACCGAGACTCCGGAAGAAGACGCATGACCGACGGATTTAGATACTGACTTTTCCCGGAGCTCCCCTACACCTCCTGCCATTGGCTGATTG